ATGGCCGGGCCGCCGAGGGGCGTGTGCGCCCGGTGGGCGGGCGCCGCTCACCAGGCCTTTGCCTGTCCTGCGAATTCCGATTCCTAAAGACGTGTACCGTGAAGGGGGTGAAGAGGTTGCAGCCACCTAAGAGTGCATGTGTCCCCTGGGTTCCAAACAGAACCCAGAGGAGGGGAAGGGTCCAGAGACGGGAGGAGCGAGCAGGGCAGAGGGCAGAGGAGGCAGCACCCGGGCGGGCCTCTGCGCGGCCAGCTGTTCGGAGCAGGGCTGGGGTGAAATCGGGGGGCACATCCGACCACCCCGCCTCGTAGCCGGCCAGCTCCTGTTACCTTCGAGTGTCCCTGGGTTGACGGTCAGGCGTTACCTGTCTCCTGGCGCTGCCCCGAGGACCAGGGCCAGGACACGGGTCTGTGCTAGCGCCGTCTGCTTGCTGTGTGTTGGCAGAGCGGGCTGCCTGGTACCGGATGCAGAACTTCCTGAGGCTGCTGCGGAGGCACGGGGCTTCCTGTCCGCCCCCACCAGAGCTGGTAACCCTTGCGGCAAAGCTGTGCTGGGACCTTCGGGATGACCCCACTCAGCTGCGACCTCTGGTGGCAGCTGTTCTCGCCAGCCAACTTCGTCTGCACCTTCTGGACAATGGGGCCCTGGTCCTGGTTTGTGCCCGTGTCTTGGTCCAGCAGGAGCAGCTGCAGGCAGCCTGCCAGCTTCTGGAGGTAGGACGGGGTGGGAGGGGTTGCAGAAGGGGATGGAGAAACCGGCAGACTCCACTGCTGCTAGTTTAGTTAGGACAGCTCATGTAATAGCCAGCTGTGATGTTAGTCAAACATTGGCGTGTCGAATCGGTCCCCATTGCTTCGACCATTGTTCTTTCTCTTGCTGTAGGGCTAGAGGTAAATCATGGTATTTTTCTGCGCCTCAATTTCCCACCTGTAAGGTGCAGCTGAGAACTTGGATTATCTGTTTCTTTGAATGTGTGTGTGTGTGTGTGTGTGTGTGTGTGTGTGTGTGTGTGTGTGTATGTGTGTCCCCGTCATGGGGCTTGAACTCTGGGCTTGAGCGTTGTCCCTCAGCTCTTCAGCTCAAGGCGAGTGGTCTACCGCTTGAGCCACAGCACCACTTTCATTTCTAGTGGTTTATTGGAGATAAGAGTCTCACAGAGTTTTCTGCCCAGGCTGGCTTTCAACCACTATCCTCAGATCTCAGCCTCCTGAGTAGCTAGGATTACAGGCGTGAGCCACCGGTGCCCTGCTTCTTTGAATGTTTTATATGCATGTGTGTGTGAGGACTTGTCTATTCATGACTGACATGAAGTGTCTGCCACAGCTTCTGTGGTAACTGGCTGGTCTAATGTCTGGTGGGGATCAACGTATCTTTACTACTTGAGTACAATGGCACATTGTGGATAAATGTGTTTGAACTCAGGTGTCTGGTCTTTCCACTACTCTACTCAAGGTGGATTGGTGTGGGTAGATAGAGGTCTCTACATGCTCCAGGGTAGGCAAGGGTAATTAGCACTCAGCAAGCTCTTCCCACAGGAGTGCCGGGTTTCAGGCGGCAGTCAGGAGCTGGTGCAGCTCTGGAATGACATCCACTACTGCCTGGCCATGAGGAGGCTAGGCGTAGCCACCCTGAGCCCTGTGCAGAAGTTCCGATGCAGAAAGAGGTACCTCTTCATTGTATTCCACAGAAAAACTTTCTCTGCTGGTTCCCTGGGCCCCTGAGAAATAGATCTCCCATCCAAACCCCGAAATGAGGGGACAGTGGGAGGAGGTCTCAATAAGCAGATTGTCACACTGTTAATGAGCAGTAGGACCTACTGTGCTTCCATCATTACACCACACTCTTCCTGCCACTTCTGTTATGTGGTAGCTGGAAAAAGAGGTGCCTCTGCAGGGAGACTGAAGCAGAGCCCATTGGTGGGCATCCCAATTGACTGGCTGGACAAGGAGCACATGGACATGGTTGATTGACTTGGAGGGCAAGTGGGAGCTGCGTCACATGTCTTAGACTGTCTCTGCTCCAGATTGCCCTTATGGCTGCTGGACCCTTTAAAGAGCGGGGTGGGAACATTGACAGTTCAGGAGAGTTACGTGTCCCTTGTTTAGCCACATGCCTGGCAAAGGATAGGTGCCGAATATCTTAATGATTAACACTGTGAACATGATCATCTGTAATTAGACGTTGTGTTAATATTCATCCCCATTATGACCATTTATGGATATAAACGTGATCGGGGAGTGTGGTGGACCAGCAGGGGACATCCCTGGAAACAGGAACAAAGAAAGTCACCATGGGTAAGGGTGGGAGTTTTGGAGCTAAGAGGAGAGGAAAGGGCTGTGCCATGTGTAGAACAGAGGACTGTGACCAGGAGAGCCATGATGAAGAGACTGGGTCATGAGGAGGCAGATGCAGAGCATGCAGGAGGGACCAAGGTGGCTGAGATGTTTGTCAGCATCATTAGGGCCCAGAGACAGGATTCCCAGGCAGATTGCTACGGTCCTGTGGGGATGTTATGTTCCTGTGAGAGAGGCTGTGGGTCTCACAAAGTGGAGACAGAGAAAGGGACCACTAGGAGGAGGCTTGTGGGACAGAAGGACATGCTCATCACCTTCCTCAGAAGACCGGGTCCTAATCAGAGCGCAGACGCTTCTGTTCTTTAGAGCTTCCTCCACTATCCCCCTTCCCCCAGGAACCCACCACCCCCTACCCTCTGCCCCAAGAGCCCCAAGAGCCGGAACTTTCCTCAAGAAGTTCGTCAGACTCTGAAGGACTTTGCCTCAGGTGTGAGCACCAACCCCAGCAAGGCAGAGCGGGTAAGAACAACTGGCTTTCCTCATGTCCTCCCCCTCTATGGCTCCTTCTTCCTCTAGTTGGCTCTGCCTCTCTCCTGGGGCTCCTGTACCTTTCTCCACATTTCTCTTTCTGCTTTCTCCCACACACATCTTTTGTTGGTGTGCCTCCCGGGAGGCTGGTGCTGTTTGAATTTTGCTCTGTAAGGTTTGTTTTCTTCTCATGTGAAAATCGTCCATTTCTCACCCTGAAATCTATAGAGGCCCTTAGTTCTTTTTTTTTCTTTTTGCTTATGTGGTGCTGAGGAATCGAACCCAGGGCCTCTGGCATGCAAGGCAAGCACTTTACCACTGAGCCACCTTCCCAGCCCTTAGTTCTTTGACCTGGAATTCTTAGCCAGTGAGCACTGTAGGAAAGAAGATCTCTGATGAGAGGCAATGTAGGCCTTCAGCCTGGCCCTTTTCCTGGCTTAGGGAATGGAATGCTCGGGCTTTAGCACTTCAGGGTTGGGATCAACTTGGGAGGTAAGGCCTGTGTGTCCTGTTCATGGAGACCCTGCTTTCTCTGCCTTAGGACATGCTCAGGAGACAATCCTTTCTCCAGTGTACTAATGCACGGATGGCCATGTCTGCCCTCCTTGCACAGGACAACCTGGACTCATACTCACTTTTTTTTTTTTTGGTGCATCTGAGCTATCTCAGCCACCTGTGTGCAAATTATCCCCTGTAACTTGGGGTCAGAAGTCTTCTTGTTTTGGTGCAGGAGACTTTGGCTTTGGAGACAGGCTTGACAGCTAAGCAAGTACACAACTGGTTTGCCAACTACCGACGACGCCAAAGATACCTTCTCCATCGCGTGGATCCAGCCCAGCAGGCCATTTCAGAAGTTCGCAGCACAAAGGAGTGGGACCCTACCCTCCTGCAGCCCTCATGCAATCCCTGTGGTGACTCAGAATTGGTGGGCAGGCCTCAGTGGTCAGGTAAGCTGCCAGGACATCTGGCCTCCTTGTACTTGGGGCTGATTTATGACAGGATCCGTCTGGCACAGGAGTGGCCATGATGGGCCAGTAGTTCCCTTGTATTTCTGGTTACCGTATGTTTGGGTGCCATTCTGGAAGTGAGGCATCATGTGGACAGAAGGAAATGGATAGTGAATAGATCTGAGAAGTGAGCCAAGCTCCAGGATTGTAATACTGGACTGTTGGTGCAGACCAGAGAGAGGGACAGAGAACAATGTTGGGATGACATGAGACCATGTCTATTTCTAACCAGCAGGGCTGCACTTAGTTGTTGCGCAGGGGACCAGAATACGCAGCCTCATGTGCTCTTTCTTCTCTGATCTGCTTTCAGCAGGACGTGAGGAAGGTAGAAATGTACGGTCTCCTACTCAAGCTTCGTGGCATCCACTGTCACTTGCCCTGGGCTTTCCTGGAGTCAACTCAATCTCAAAGCCACTGGCTGCCAGGTATGGCCTTACATTTAGACCATAGGACCGTCTTACCTGCTTAGCCTCCACTTCCTTGGGTGGAGACAGAGTGTTGAGTGGGCCTGGGTATGCTAGGTCCTAACCCTAGGACACCTGTCAGTGACAGAGCAGGGAAACCAAGGAGCCCACATCAAGGTCCTAGAAGGGAAACTTCCGTATGACCTTATGCTTTGTCCCTGAAATCTGACTAAAATATGGCCTGACCTCATGTGTAATTTTTTTAATGACATAAAATACTTAGAAAAAAATGGAAAAATAATCAGTCCAGACTTACCATCTAAAGACAAATCCAATATCATTGGGTAGTGTTTTGCCAAGTTTGTATCTTGTGGAGCTGCAGCATTGGGTGCCTCTCAAATCCTTGTGTGTCATTGTTGTCCAAGCCTCTCCCTGTTCTCTGTGCTCACTTGTGAGGAGGGATCAACCTGATAGTGATAGGAGGACAGGAAGTGTGCCCGGTCCAGTGCCAGTCACCTCAGGCCTAGTGTTGGGGTCGGTCCAGCTCACAGTTGTCAGCTCATCATCTGTGCCCACTTCACCCCCTTCCTTTTCTGCACAGGCTCATGACACAGCCTCTCTTGGTGTTGGCATGTCTGGCTCATAACACGGGTCTGGTACCATCCAGGTGTATGGCACCAGGCAAGTTCCTGTGACCTCTGACCTGTGCAATGGGGTTGATGATAGGCCATGCATGCTGCTGGGAAGGTTGAGGGAAGGTTGAACAAAATCCTAGAAGCACATCTGACATTTGACAGCTGAAGCACATCATGAACATTTGTGGAAAGCTAATTCCTTAAACTATTAATCAGTTACTGCCTAATAGTACTTTAAAGTTAACCATTGTTTATACATGATTAATGTGTCTTGCTAATCACTTTCAGTTTTTAACATTTCTTGGATTGTGGATAAAGGGCTGAGGTATTGTAGGCTTCAAGTAAATGGCTTTAGTAAGTCTCCAGGGTCCATAGCTATCAATGGTCAGTCTTTGCACCAACCTCAGGGGGAAGGGTCCGGGCAGCATGGTGAGTGACATTCTGGGTGCCACAGTCTTCAGGCTGAATCAGGAGGGGAACTCAAAACCCCCGAGTTTGTTGTCTCTGCCTGCCATAGGACATTGTTTTCCACATACCTCAGATCTCTCCAAGAAGGCGAAAGGTACCGGACGGGGCCTGACCATGACCCTGCCACCCTCAGTCCCGTTGGCCTCAGCCCCAGCTTCGGCTCTCTGACTGTGGACAGCAACATGACGGGTCCTCCTATGGCTGCCTCTGAGTCATGGATGACGTCCTTTGCACGGCCATCCTCCAAGGAAGTCTGCTTCCAGCTCGGGCAGCAAGCCCATAGCTGCAGGCTGGACTCCAGGATGCACCTACCAGGTTCCACCATGTCCGTGCCCATTGCCTCTGTTGGTGATCCTTGCCCTGCAGGTGGGTGTAGTTATTTTTCTTTTTAAATATATATTTTTATTGTAAAGATACTGTACAGAGAGGTTACAGTTACATGAGTAAGGTAATTAATACATTTCCTATCGAATATTGTAACCCCCCCTTTGTTTTTCCCCTACCATCCCTTCCCTCCCCACCTCCCCAACTCCTCCTTTGAGATCAACAAGATATTACATTGGACTTGCTCCAGCAGCAAGTCAGGGTTTGTTCTATATCTAACCTCCATGACTTAAAAAAAAGCTGTCCCTAACTGACTTGTTTCCTGAAGCTAATAAACATGACATTTTGAAGTAATAAACTTAACTTAGTAATTGAATAAGCATTTTAATAACGTATTAGATTTCCACAGATCATATATACTAGACATTTGGTAAACGTTTTGCAATTGTACTTTTCTGAGACTCTTTTAATGTAATTAGAAATAATGCACTCAAGACAGCATGTACACATTATTAAGAGACAGTATGTACAAATTCATTATTTCACACTTAGCATTTGCACTAATTTTGGCATCAGAGAAATTGAGAATAGGTGGGTGTAGTTTTCATAGACTATGAAATTAAGCATCATTACACTACAACTACTCCAGTGTTTTGTGGTAGTATTAGGCGAGGCCATGAATTTTTGCTTGAATCTGTGTGGTTTGATGAGACCCAGAACCAGTGCAGAAGAAAGACAGATTCTTCCAATACACATCTGGATTTTTTAAATTGTAATTTGAAGAAAAAATACACACAAATGAAAAATGAGACAGAAAAGAGTTGAAGTGATAGGGAACAGCTGCCTCTCTGTGACTCTGCTGAAGTCACCTTACTATGTCACCTGTGCCTCGAGGAGGGTAAGCTCCTTAGACCACTTTCTCTTTTATCCTCAGCTCAGAATGTAATGTCCTATTTTAGTTTGTTTCTGAAGTTTCTTTGTAACTAAAAGTTTAAATATTGTTTATATATTTGTTTGTGCCTCTCCAATACATCAGACTCTTATAAGGCACTGTGGATGTACCAGAATTTTTTAGTATTCTGTGTGTATAACTTTTCAGCTTTTTTTTTTTTTTTGCCAGTCCTAGGTTTAAACTTAGGACTTGGGCACTGTCCCAGAGCTGCTTTTGCTCAAGACTAGCACTCTACCACTTGAACCACAGCACCACATCTAGCCTTTTCTGTTTATGTGGTACTGAGGAATTAAACCATTTCTTTTTTCTTTTTCAGGCCCCCCAGTCATGGGGCCTGAACTCTGGGCCTGGGCGCTGTCCCTCAGCTCTTCAGCTCAAGTCTAGCACTCTACCATTTGAGCCACAGCGCCACTTCTGGCTTTTTTCTTTTTGCTTATGTGGTGCTGAGGAATCGAACCCAGGGCCTCATGCATGCAAGGCAAGCGCTCTACCACTGAGCTACGTTCCCAGCCGCCTTTTATTTTTTCTTATGCCATCTGTTCTTATACTCCAGTAATATCTTCTAGTGTTTTCAGTATCCCATTTGAAACTCACAGCTGGAACCCCTCCTCCTGTTGATAAGCAAATAATGGCTTCCTAGGTCTGGGGTAAAACCATCATGTTCAGTGCCCCCTTAATTGCTCTCTGAGTTTGTTTCCGGATTACTGTCAGTTTTTTCTCTCTTGACTTTCTTATTTTGTTAAAAAACACCTTCAGTTAGCTTTGCAAGATGGTTTTTGTGAGATAAAGGTTCTAAATCCTTTCGTGTTCTAAAAATATCTTTAATTTTCCCTTACCTTTTAGTAACAATTTGGCAGGGATAGAATTCTGAGATGAAATTATCTTATCCATCAGAAATTTGAAGACATTGTTAATTTTTTGTAGCATTTAGTGATGAATCACATGTTTATTATTGAGCAGATAACCTCTGTTTCTTTTTTGTTGTTGGTGGTGGTGGTGGGGCTTGAACTCTGGGCTTGGGCACTGTCTCTTCAGCTCAAGGCAAGTGCTCTACCACTTGAGCCACAGCACCGCTTCTGGTTTTCTGGTGGTTTATTGGAGATAAGAGCGTCATGGGCTTTTCTGCCCAGGCTGGCTTTGAACCCTGAACCTCAGATCTCAGCCTCCTGAGTAACTAGGATGACAGGCTTGAGCCACCAGTACCCAGCTAACCTATATATGTTACCTTGGAGTTTTGAGGTTATTTTTTTACCTGGTGTTCTAAAACATACTGATGGCCTTAGATAGGGGTCTCTTTTAGATCATTTTCCAGTTAAGCTTTTTGGTTTAAAGAGAAAGTTATGGGGTTAGGAATGTGGCTTAGTGGTAGAATGCTTTCCTAGCATGCATGAAGCCCTGGGTTTGAATCTTTAGTGCCTCATAAACAGAAAAAGCCAGAAGTGGTACTGTGCTCAAGTGGTAGAGCACCAGCCTTGAGCAAAAAAGAAGCTCAGGGACAATGCCCAGGCCCTGAGTTTAAGCCCAGGCACTGGCATAAAAAGAAAGAGTACATTTGGGGAAAAAAGAAGGTTGTCTAAGCTTATGATTTTTTTTGGTAATATTCCTTGTCATAAATCCTGAGTCTCATGGACTCTGTAGGCATTTGCCATGTGGCTGTTTTTCCTCACTCTGCAGAACTGCAGACATTGAATGTGGTGCTTCTGATTTTGTTTTTCTCCAGGAGAGAATTTATGATTTACTGTTTTATTACCTGTGATCTTGAATGTCCAAGTTGATACCAGAGCTTTGTTTTCTCTACTCAGAATCCCTTTAAGTCTTGTGTGGATGAGGAGTCAGCAGAAGTGGAGGGAGAGTCACACACCAGGTAGTCAGGAAGGGCCTTTGACATCAGAAGGTCCTGCGCATCCATCTGCCAGGTTAGGTGGTCATTCTGGTGGCTAGAAGGGAGCAAAGCATGACTCTCACCATGATCTATGTTTCTTTGTTTGAGGCTAGGCTTTTTAAAGTCCATGCCACCCACGGACTTAGTTTAGACAGAAACAGGCCTCTTCTGTCCTACACATGTGCCTACTCAGATCTGAATGACTCTGTTGTAGGCTCTGGCACTGGCTGTCAGGAGTTCTGGAGTTGCAAAACACAGGTTGAAATGAGCATTGCCTGACTTTCATGTGATACCTGAAGACTCAAAGGTTGTTAATGTTGCCGTTCCGACAGTTCTTTGCTCTGGAGGGTTTAGATCCAGGAACAGTGACCGAGGACTGACTTGAGGCCATAGTTGCATGCGTGTCACGCTCCTCCTTCCCAGCAGGTTGTGTGTGTGTGTGTGTGTGTTTTTCCTGCAGGATTTACTGATACACATCGTGACAATCCCCAGGTCATGTACTCAGAAGAAGGCCCTGGTTCAAGTGGTGGGCAGGCAGAGGGGCGCCGCTTCCTGGTGACACAGCCTCCGCTGCAGGCCTGTGAGTGTCTCATCTCCCCCAGGTGAGGCTGGAGGTCTGGTGACATTCTCTGCAGGCTATGAGGTGGGGTAGAGCTGATTTATAGACTTATTACCTTGGTCTATGCAGATCTGACCTTTTCTTTCTGGTCCTCAAAAACTGTAACAGTCCCTTCATCCTGCTTCTTCTTAAAGCAGAGTGGTTTGTCTAGACATCACAGCAGATGCGGGCATCCCATCCTTTGGATTGTGCTCAGTCACTCAATGTTACCTTGGGCCCCATTAGCCAATTTCTGGTGTTTCTTCCCCACAGGCTATGGAATTGTCTTCCAAATTGTAGTTTGGATGAGGCTTGGGAGGAGTTCAAATAGCCCAGGAGAGGTTCTATAGCCCAGGTGACAGTGTCGATATTTTGGATGTTCAGAGATACAGAGATGACTAAACCACATGAGGGAATGCAGAGATAGTGGATGGTAGATGGGTTGGTTCAGGGTCCTCGGGTGGAGAGATGACAATGGAGGCCCCCATGCTGCAGAACGGGACCAGGAGACTGCAGGTCGCAGAAAGGGATGGGAAAGTACGATGGTATGGTCTTTTTTTTTTTAAGAGGACACACGTCCTATTTATGCTAGGGAGTCAGCAGGACAATGTCCTCAGGATGTGGGATCCTCTTAATTTGGGAGCTAAAGGTCATATGATTCAAGTGGGTGCCCAGTAATGGAAGAAACATAAAGGAGTATGTAACATAGGAGAAACATTCCCCACATCAATGCTTTGCTTGTTGAGATAACAGAGTTGTAAAAGAATCCAAACCACACAGATTCATTCGCTTTTGCATTCACAGTCACAGTCAGATGGGGTATATGCTTTTTTTTTTTTTTTTTTACTGATTCCTGTTTCCACTGTGGTTTATCCATATGGCTACATTGACATTTTCTCTTTTCCCCATGCCTCCTGCCTGTAGTCCCCTGATGTGATGGCTGTGAATGCTTTTGTGTGTGCCAGTCCTGAGGTTTGAACTCCTGCCTCAACACTTTCCCTGAGTTTTTTTTCTCAAGGCTGGTGCTCAACCACCTGAGCCACAGCTCCACTTAAAAACTTTCTGGTGTCTAATTAGAGATGAGTCTTCTAGACTTCCCTGCCTGGTCTGGCTTTGAACTGTGGTCCTCAGACTTTAGCCTCCTGAATACCTAGGATTACAGGCATGAACCACTGGTAGCTGGTTGAATCCTTCTTTAAACATCTTACTTGCAAATGTGTAGGTTGAACAAGCCACAGTTTTTCTCTGTGTGATTTTCACGTCTACTGTGAAGCCACAGAGTCTAGTGGAGGTTGTGAATGTACTTATTGCCTTCACCCAACAGGACTCTGCCACCACAGAACCACAGATCTGCTTCTGTCAGTGAAGACTAGTTGTAATGGGACTGGGGTATGATTCAAGTGGTAAAGCACCTGTATAGAAAAGATGAGGCCTTTACATCAGTTACCAGTATTGTCAAAATTATTACCCGAAGCTGGGTGCCAGTGGCTAATGCCTGTAATCCTTGCTATTCAGGAGGTTGGCAGGAAAGTCTATAAGACTCATCTCTAGTTAACCACCAAAAACTGGAAGTAGAGCCATGTGTCAAAGTGGTAGAGTGTTAGCCTTGAGCAAAAAAGCCTCAGCGACTGTACCCAGGCCCTGCATTGAAGCTCCAGGACCAGTTTATGCACACACAAAAAAGAGAAGTGGAACCGAGGCTCAAGTTGTAGAGCACTAGCATCGAGAAAAAAAAAGGTAACAGTTCAAGGACAGCACCCAGTCCCTGGGTTCAAATGCTAGGACTGGCACAGAAAATGCAACTGTGTTGTATAGAGCGTTATGTGGATAGAATCCTAGGCTTAGTGCTCAGGCTGTGTCTTTTGCTTCCATTTTCTCTGGCTCCGTTCCGTGTAACTTTTGAGATGCCCTTTGTTGTTGAGTATATCAATAATTCATTTTATTGGTAAGACTTAATCACCAGTGTGGGTGGGTGACCTTGTAGGGCGTTCTCTTGTGGCTGGCATTCCGTGTCTGTGGTTTGGTGAAATCTCATAGAAGGTCTTCACGGACGTTCCTGCACATAGTTCCTCTTGGTAGTCTCCTTTATTTCCCCTGGAGTACTCCTAGGAGTGTAATGGTCAGGTCATGTGATAGTGTGTATGTGTTGGCATTGACTGTCTAGTCTCTGCTGTCCCTCCTGCTTTCCCTGACTCGGTCCAGATAGACTCTCACCTCAGACCCAGCCCTTCTTTGCCATCTCCTGCTGTGAACCACATTCCCCTCCTAGCTAACCGTCAACACAGAAAGAGCGTTCATTGGAATTGAACCCCTCAACTGGCTTATGATTTGTAGGTATATGACTTGGGGGTCTTGGCACCTTGAGCCATAACCTGTCCTGATGTGCAGATTAGAATTGTGTATGGATTAATCCCCTGATACGTAGCTTGTTCTGACCCTGTGCCTTTCTTAGCTCTGCAGAGTTTGTGCCTGTGTCTACCATGGAGCTGAGCCATCCCCTGCCCTCCAGCCAGGTAAGACCTGCTTGTTTTTCTCCTAACCCCGATACACAGCTAATGGCTGAGGAGGGCTTAATTAGTGCTTTTTTAAATAAAGGAAACAGTGAAGAGGAATAAATATGACTCATGGTGGGACATAAGTAGCCTCAGACTGGGCAGGGGTTCTCCTGAGGCCAGAGAGTAGATTTGACAGGGTTAGAAGATAGCCTGGTAGGAAGACAAGTCTTGGAGCCTGGCAGAACACATCTCCACGTGTACTGCTGTGTTGTTTTTCAGGTGCAGTGGTCTCGCAACAAGGTCTCGTGTGATGCTGTCTGGGGAGCCAGCATGCTCCTTGAGTTTTCAGGGGGCAGCCTGGGCCAAGGCAGCCCTGGGGGTCCAAGCCAGCGCCAGAGAAGGAGATGCGGATTGCCCAGCTGTTCAACACAAGTTGCAGAGCTTTTTCCTGAATAAAATTAGAGGTTCTTCATGGATCATGAAGGGTTTTTTCCCCTGAAACTGCAAGGCTTCTTTGAATAGTTTAGTTGGTAATTGTCTATATAGAAGGAAGCATCTGGCACATATTCATGGGGTCAAGTTGAAGGAATGTCTGTTCTGTTTGTGAAGTGATAACTCATACTTGAGCTACTGGTAAGTTCTGTCTTGCTGACAGATTCCAGAGAATATAATGTCCCTTCCTACTTCTCTGTGCACGAGGCCTTCCCCATCCATTTGTTATCACTGAAAGGTGTGGGGAGACTTCTGGTGCTGCTGTGTTTGGGAGCAGTTCCCTTGAGCACCGAGAGGACAGTGTTCTCAGGAGCTTGTCCGCGAGGTGGGCTCGGGCCGACTTCTGTGCCTGGTGGCACGTCATTGTGACTGCAGAAGGACTGTTGTATGCAACTACATTAAAGCTCAGTGTTTGTATGTGTCCCACTTTCCACTTAATGACGCATCTTGACATCCGTCCAAATCTAGCAAGTAAATTCCTGTGCTAGTGTTTCATGATGGGGTTGTGGTGATTGATTTCTCCGCTACTCTAGTGATGGTCATTGACTATTTCCAGTGTCTGTTTCATAAACAGTATCAGACTAAGCATCCATTTTCTCTTCCCTTTGCTCTTTGCTTGGTTATTTCTTCATGCTAAATTCCTAGAAGCTGAATTTCTTGGTGGTTGTAAAAGCTAAGGAGTAGACTGTAATTCTGAGTGTCTGTGACCAGCCATGTGTGGGTTAGGTATGTTCAACAAAGCACCTCAACATCAGACCCCAGTCTTCCTTTCAGACACTCCCAAGCTGGTCTGTGAGGGACACATGACCTTCCTTTCCATTGGTTGTACGTGTACGTGTACGATGTGGAACCATTAATGGAAGACCTGAATGTGGAGTCAGGACATGGAGAATCTTGACTGTGATAGAAAAGGGAATTTTGGCTGCACTCCAGTGGCTCGCACAGGTAATCATAGCTACCCAGGAGGCTGAGATCTGAGGATTGTGGTTTGAAGCTAACCCAGACAGCAAAGTCTGTGAGATTCTTATTTCCACCAAACTACCAAAAAAAGCCAGAACTGGAGCTGTGGCTCAAGTGGTAGGGTGATACTCCTGAACAGAACTGGCACCAAAGAAGAAAAGAAATTTTGGAGAGTGGGTTAGAAATGGTGCAGCTAAAGGAACAGAACCTTCGAACGCAGTGTCTGAAGGCCCTCACGCCGGTCCCCTGCCACCCAGTGAGTCCATGAACGGGAGGAGAATACGGACTCATCCTCCTAGAGCCACATCAGAGGGTATACTGAGTGCCTTTGTTGGGGACAGCCACCCATCTACCTGCTGGAGGAAGACGGCCTCAGATCCCCACCCAGCTGCCCCCCTTCATGACTTCTAGGGTGGTGGCAGCAACTTCTGTACCTTCAGCTGCCATGAGTATGCATACTATAGTTGTGCCAGGAAATCTTCCTGCTGTTGCCTATGGCCTTTCTTGTCTCCAACAGGGCCTAGATATGCAGAAATTTGGAAGCCAGTGATGGAGTTGGCCACAGACAAGTAAGCTGTTTGAGGATCTCCAAGACAATTTTATCCTTCATATTCTGGGCAAAGCCATAGGCTCTGCGAGTTCCAAATACCTGATTCAGCTACCTGTATCATGTCTGTCTTTGGGAAAGTGGACAAGTCTGCTTGGAGCTGCCACTTGTGTGGGATAGCCTGCTTAGCTGGGACACCTCCCTATGCAGTGATCAGAGCCCTGTTTGTCCCGTTTTGTCCCCGTGGACAGGACCTCTGCCATCAAGAGCTTGACAACAAGTCCTACCTCCACCTCTCCCTTTTCTGGATTTGTCCCTTGCCAAAAGAGGGGTATGGATGTCCATTCTGATGTACCTTACCCATTTTAAAGGACGTCTTGGAACAATGAGACTTCTTGACCTGGTAGGGCATCCTCTTTCTGAATCTTAGTAAGGTGCCTTCCCTGTCACGTTTGGAGGGACATCTTGGCTGTTCCATACTGGAAGTCTGGCTGTGGTTAGAGACCATGTGAAGGGGATGGCCTTGTCCAACCCTGTGTGACGTTTGGAGGGACATCTTGGCTGTTCCAAACTGGAAGTCTGGCTGTGGTTAGAGACCATGTGAAGGGGATGGCCTTGTCCAACCCTGTGTGACGTTTGGAGGGACATCTTGGCTGTTCCATACTGGAAGTCTGGCTGTGGTTAGAGACCATGTGAAGGGGATGGCCTTGTCCAACCCTGTGTGACGTTTGGAGGGACATCTTGGCTGTTCCAAACTGGAAGTCTGGCTGTAGTTAGAGACCATGTGAAGGGGATGGCCTTGTCCAACCCTGGGCTTTCTGATTTTAAGCAGTGTGAAGGTGTAGGATTTGTTGACCAGCTCCATGGAAACACAAATGTTGCCCATCCTTGTTCTCATCTTCCAACTGTCCCCAGAATGTTGAAAACTGAGGCCAGAGCTTCCAGACAGACCTGAAAGTGACCTCCTAGCAGTAATCATGGCCTGGGATTCTCCCCTTACCATCTTGTGGGTTGGGCTTGGGGACCCAGCTAGATATAGCTTGTGGAGTCATGGATTGGCGGAATATGCCTATATTCTTTACTCAGATCAGTCCTAGCAAGTTTTCCAACACAAAAAATTGTCTTAGCTTGGAAGTTCAGAGGTCTAGAGTTGAGGTATCATGGGATTTGTGCTCCCTTTGAAGATGCTAGGGAGGAGTCCTGTCCAGACTTGTGTGGCAGCAGAAATCCAATCTTCATAGCAAATTTTTCTCAACTGTTTCTTTACGAATCCTCTGTTTTACAGAAAAACAAGCTATATAGTCTTTTGTAATATTGACAGTCTTACATATGAAAAGTTTATGGATTTATGGTCCTGGAAGCCTTACTCTTCTTAAGTAGGTATTGTACCACTTGAGCTGTGTCTCCAGCCCCCTTTGTGCCTGTTATTTATTTATTTATTTTTGGGTCCGGTTGTGGGGCCTGAACTCTGGGCCTGGGCACTGTCCCTCAGCTCTTCAGCTCAAGGCTAGCGTTCTACCACTTGAGCCACAGCGCCACTTCTGGCTTTTTTCTTTTTGCTTATGTGGTGCTGAGGAATCGAACCCAGGGCCTTGGGCATGCAAGGCAAGCGCTCTACCACTGAGCCATCTTCCCAGCACTGTGTCTGTTATTTTTAAGGTAGGGTCTTGTTTTACACCCAGCCTGGGTTGTGATCTTCTCACCTGTACTTCCTATGTTACGTTGCTGAGGACAACAGGCACATAACACTATTCCAACCATTTGCTCAACCTGTGGCAACGTTAACAGGTGTGAGTCATCATTACCAGCCGTTAGTTGAGATGAAGCATTGTGAACTTTTATGCCCAGTGTGGCCTTTAACCATCATCCCCTTACCTATACTCCAGGCAGCTAGGGTTGCAGATTTGAGCCACTGTACCCTGGTATGGACTATCTTGAGTGAATTTTTGTGTAAGGCATAAAGTTTGTATCTGTATTTATTTTTTTCCTATATGAGTTTGATATGGTCCATTCTCCATAATTGTTCTGTAGTCATTTGTGCAGCCGAGATAGAATCTGATTTTCAGGGTTTAGGAATAAATTAGATGTATATGATTTCCCTGTGTGCCATGAAGAATTGCTCCATGGAAGCATCTCAGTCTGGGGTCTTAGGAAACAGCACCCAGTGACCTACTTTCTCCTTGTAGACCCCACCTCCTACTTTCTGCCACTTCTGAAGTGGTCTTGTGTCTTTCATTTGCATTTACCTTATGGCTAATGATCTTGCACATGTTATTTTTGGAGAGGGTTTCATTGTTTGGCCTTGAACTCATGATCTTGAGGGTATACCAGAGGCTGCAACCAATCACTGTAGGTCCCATGACAGGGTATGAACCAACTTGATTGCAGGGTCTTGCTGCTAGAGTATATGAAGGCATGCATGAAACCACTGGTGTTGGAGGGTAACTGAATGCACAGAGAGGCTCACCATATCCAGATCCCAGGAGACATGGAGGTGGAGGCTCACAGTACCTGGCTCTGAGAAGATCCTGTCCATCTGCAGTGCAAACTTGCACAAGGGCATCCTTGAGAATCTTGCCTCTACTGGTACTCACTGAGCCCTAGGCAAGTAGTGTAGAACTAAGCCAGAGTCTGGGGTTTTGATGTTCCTGACTTGAGATGGTACCCGAGGCACATCCGAGTATCAGACACTCCTCATAACCTTTGGGGCAACATAAGCACAGGCCTCAAATGATCAACATGAGAGCTGTCTATATAGTGTGGGTGTCCCAAGCATGCAGTGAGCACTGGAGCCTCAGAGGCTAAGTTAAGGACAAGGTGTCAGCAAAGGTCATTGTGATGTTTGGGCTGGATAGGAAGAAGCCTGAAGATGAGTAAGTTCTATAGAGGGTAACAAATCCATACGCCATCCAAGAAAAGTCAGATAAATTGAAATGTTTCAAAGGAAATCAGTACAAACCTCCCTAAGATTCCAAAGATAAGCTGCAAAACTGTCCAGAGACAAAAGAGATTCAATAGATCAAGAATAGACCACTGAATGATCTGAGAGGCATACAATCCAAAGATGTCAACAAGGAAGGAAAATGTAACTTAATTGTTGAAGCTCTTTAAATTATGCTAGGTGTTAGGAAAATACACAGTAGGTCTGAGTTCATCTGCCATTTCCACATTCTGAACTGCATTGTAGATTTGGGTATGGGACCCAGGAGCCTCACACATGCTGGGCCTGGTACTTTATTAATGAGTTTTGTGTTCAGTTCATTTCCACATTCTCAGTTCGGAGAGTTGTTGGCATGCATTGTGGGTAGAGGTATACAAAATTAGGAAGCCACTGTAGGAGAATTCATCAAAACAACAGATGTCTTACACTATGACCGTCATTTCACTTCTAGGTATTTCTGTAGTAGTTGTGCTCTTCCCTGTGCTAAATGACCGATGTAGAATGTTCTCCAATGTTTCAATGAGAAGGCAGGCAAGAGAATATCTGGAAAATTTTCCATACAGAGCCATACTGGGGCTCTTGATGCCGTCCCAGGTCTTAGGGTGCCTTCTGCTGTTTATATCGGAAATGCCAGCTGTGACATGTAAACACCATGTGTGGGACAGTGTGGAAATAGGCATCCATGTTTTTTCTTTAACCCCCCTCCCTTTTTTGCCCTGTTTATAGGGATTGAATGTAGGGCTTTGGTGCTGTTCCTTAGCTCTTTAACTTAGGGTGGAATTGTACTACTTGGGGCACAGCCCCCTTTCTGGCCTCAGTTTGTCTCAAGTGGTTTTTGTTTTTGTCTCTGTGTTTTCTAGCATGAGTTTCATTAAGATATCCTTACTGTTTCCGGAGTATTATTTGGGCAAGCAGGGATGAGGTTAGAGTGGGTGAAGGAAAGAGGCAGGGAGGGAGAGGAAGAGTACAAACTATTTTTTTTTTCATTTGTGTTTGCAGTTTATGAGGGAGCATGAAAGTCCACATAGACCAACCTTGGGTGGAAGCTTTGTGAAGATGGCACGTGTCTCTGAATTCCTGGCCTCCAGTCGCCGTGGCCGTTTGCTGCCTCCCTGGTTCAATTTTTTTTTTTTTGTCTGCTGTGGGACTTAACTCTGGGCCTGCATGCTGTCCGTGTGCTCTTCAGCTCAAGGCTAACATTCTTACCGCTTGAGCCACAGCACCACTTCCAGTTATCTGGTAATTTACTGAAGATAAGAGTCTCATGGACTTTTTTGCCCAGGGTGGCTTTGAACCACGATCCTCAGATCTCAGCCCCCTGAGTAGCAAGGATTACAGGCCTGGGCCACTGGCACCTGGCCTGGTTTAAATTTTTGAAGGAAAGCTTGGTCGATGGAGTCAGGAGAAGACTGAATGTTTTAATTTAAATTCATCCGTCACCAACAGGATTGCTCTACAGGTCTAGGTCTAAGGGACACTCGTGGAGAAAAAATGTTTTCCCGGTTTCTACCAGGAAAGTGGAATAATCAATAAACAATAATCAATAAACATTCACAGAAACCCAGCTCGTGTTTCCTGTCTATATAGAGTGGGTGTATTGCTCCCTGGTCTGGGCTGCCCTCTCCCTCTTCCTCCCTTTCCCTCCCTCTTTCCCCTCCTTCCCTCCCCTATCGCCACACCTCCCAACATAGTCCCGGAAGTGGAGCTCAGGCCTGGCCAGGCCGGGCAGCGGGTGGCGGGCAGGCAGAAGAGCGGGAGACTCCCAGGGCGGGACCCAGATGGGAGGGCAGGCATGGGCAGCCGGGATGGCAGGCCTCAGTGGCAGGGAGGGCCAGGCCTCGTCGGCGCTGCTTGAACCCAGGCTCGTGTCTGGGTCTCCAGGTCAGAGCACAAGAAGAGTGGAGCAAGAGTGGAAGTGAGGGTCCAGGGGCCCGTCTTGTGGGAGGACGCGGGGTCTTGAGGAGGGCGGTGCACACACTAGAACACCATCTGGTGAGAACCTGAACCCCGAGTACTGAGAAGAGCATGGTGCGCACACCTAGAGCACCACCTGGTGGGAATCAGTGGTCACTGCACCCTCT